GTTTACCATTTACTTAAATCTCGTGCTGAATTTATTTTGACTAAGTACATATAATGGATGCCAAAAGAAGACACTAATCACAATTTGTGAAGGAAAGAAAAGTGAAAGGCAAGCAAATGAGGAATTTAAAAAGGCTCTTTTAGTAGGGGAATTAAGAGGTAGCAGATTTGAGGACATTGGCACTGGGGGATGAGTGAGAATCAATATATATCATTGGGGTTATGATTGTTTTCTCTTACCACAGTGGCTTTTTGGGTAATGCCCAATCAAGCTTAGAAACTGTTTTTTACCACACCCTGGTACAGGGTGTAGTCATATCTGTGACTGTGCTCATGTCCCCTCCTCCAAAAAGAGAGGAGGACGTGATGTTACTAGCCTCTGGGCGCTGAACTGATCTGAGCATTTTTACAGTCCTCTTGTCCTATACATTTGTCTAAAGAAATGCAATGCTGCGGTTTGTGATTAACCACACCTGGGCTTTATAAAACAAACAACTGGGCACTACCTCAATACTAGCGACAATGAACGGAGCGTTAAAAAAGCTACCCTGTAGGAAAAAAGCCTGGAAAGACCAGGAGTCAAAGAATCAGGTGCAGTGACTTGCATAGGCAGAGTCCCAACAAATATTGTGTGAGGTTGCCAGGACCCATCAGAAGAGCTGTAGCTCTGTAGTTCGCTTATCTGCTCGTCCTGGCTGTGAATATTAGAAATCACTGCTTAGGCTTGATGTTCATGATAACAAACTGTCGGAGAAGAGTGAAGAAATAAGCAATAGGCAGTCATAGATTCAAAAGTGCAGAGCATTTCTTCAAGACCTCACTTTAACAACTCAAGAATGAAGGTTGTCGTTCTGAGCTTAAGTTTCCAGTCTATATTAAGTAACAACTAAAACAAAATGGACACAGAAGACTACTCGCACAGACAGATTTTCAAAGAGAGAAAAACTTATTTACCTCTCTAAATGTTTTGAAAAAATCCCAGCCTGAATTCTTTGTGGATTTATGAGCGGATGATGGCAGAATTTTTGAAGGAGTTAATTTTTGTCCTAAATTTAAAGTCTTTAAGTTACCAAGAGCATTCTCACAGCATGATTAACTTAAATGGATGTGGATCAGGCCCTTCAGTGAACTTTTGGAAATAAAATAGCTTCTGTTATTGCATTAAGTGATAGTTTAATTATTTAGGAAGGGCATAATTATCACTTACTGGATGGAAGAATAACTTACATAACAGTTTGGCAACTTGTCACAGTGATTGGGATCTAAATTGCATTATATGGGTTTTCAGTGGAGAAAAAGAAGGTAAGGGAAGGAACAATGTAATTTATAGAAAATAAAGCAGGTTCACACATTTGCTGCTTATGGTCATTGTAAGTGGTATAATTGTGCATAATCACTGGTCCCATTCTTAATGTACAGTGCTAGAGGTGGGCTAAAGTTTGCAGCGGCATATAAATTAAGATGCAAATATGACTTGTATTTGTTGGTATTACTAGAGTAAAGCAAAGAAAGGGAATTTCTGTTGTATATTTAAAGTTGAGAAACCTGTTTTGTGAATAGCATGCTATCAGCAAAGACTTTGTAGTTGTTAGGTAGCCGCAAAAGGACACGGTAGGTCAATGATGGGTAAGGAAAAACAGATGTATAAAGAGCACAGCAGTGTTGGGCTACTGATAGGCACTTGCCGTTTTCCCCATCTGGGGAAAATGCCTTAATTCTGTATCATATGCATCCTGATTCCTATCTTTTAAAACAAACAAGCAGAAGGAAGGAGGAAAAGGGACTGAATGCCAGACAGTAATTTTAAGACATAGAATAGAGAAAAGTCATAGCAAAATGGATGATTTGATTTCTCATCATTATTCTCCTGAAGAATTATATTTGCAAGGTCATGTTAAGGCTTATTCAGTCAGAGGCATATCAGTGAAGGTAACTGGATTCAGATGAGTTCCCATCCAAGAGATTTTCAGAGAAGTGATTGTTCTCTAAATACATTTACAAAACAGCATTGTCTAGACTCGTGTTACGTAATAAATCAAAGCTTGGTTTCCTGGAGCTGACGAACCTTATTTTAAGTTCTTATCAGAGAATGATCGAAATTCTGAGATCCACCTTCTCACATTTAGTTTATAATGTATCACTGTATTCCATTTGCTTGCATGCACTTTATTCTTTTGTTTCTTTTTAAAATTCTCCACCAATACCTGTAACAGCAGAAATATGCTTAATATAATTCCCATGCCTCACTAATACATAGTCATGGTAGAACAGACATAAAAAATATTAGTCACCTATACCAGGCATATACCTTTACTCAATGTATTAGATGAGTACTTTCTCTAATTCATGTATTTAAAATATAGGTGTATTTATTTCAGGTGTTTTTGCAATTGAATGCGGGAAGTAAAATTCAGAAGACAGAAGAAATGAAAGAAGGGAAGTAAGATACTACAGAAAAATTCTTACAGTATAATTTTTGAGAATTCTACTTTGTAAATTAGTTCACGTGCCAATAAATTTCTCTTATTAACATTCACCTTATATTTCAGTAGTTTTATCGAACCCTTCACTGAATTACAGAGAAGACCGTCATTTTAGATCTTTTGAACTACTTTAAAAATGTCTGTCGGTTGATTTTGGTTGAATTTGTCATTAACAGCTGACAGTCTTAGCTGTAGAAATCCAACGGTGATATATAAAAATGGTATCTCCAGTCTTTCTTTTAGCCAAGCCCCTAATTTAAAGAGTCTCTAATGATTCAGTTCTTCCTTTATCTTTTTTTTTTTTTTAATGTATCCAGAACTACTGGGAGAAGAGCAGCCTGGACACTAGCAATATAGAGAGAATACTCAGATTTGCACCTTCTTTCACAGGAAGAAGTGTTTTACAACCAAATTCATATTAGCCTTTGAATGAAAAGCAGAATCCATGGAACATCAAGACCGGCAGAGGAGGATGTATGCATAAACTTTCTTCCTCTGTAACATCTGCTGCTATGCCCTCATATGGTTAAAACAATGTACAACTTTAGGATATGTAGTGGGAAGAAACATATGAATAGACACGATAGCAAAAATGTGGCTACTTCTGTAATGGGGCAGAAAAGATCCCACCTTTTCTTATCTAACACATTTGTGATTCAGCAATCTGAATATTCCTAAATCTCAGAAATAATTAAAAAGCAAATGTCTGTTAGAGAACTTCAGTTTCCTGTACAAGGTTTTGCATATCTCATAAGTTTCAAAAGCTTAAATTTTTATTTAAAATAGGTCAGCTTCTGCCCTGGCCCTTGCATAAGACCCCCTTCCCCTCAGAACCCTTGAGACTAAGTCAATATGCATAAATGGTTTTGCACTATTCCACTGTTAGGAAGTGATATTTGATCAAATAGATAGTTTGAAATATTCATAGAAAATATATGGGGCAATAATTCCACAAAAATCAGGCTGATTTGTGAAGCAATCATATGACAGTTCCCTTCCCTTTCTCTTAAACCTGCCCCTTAAATCCTGCATGTTTTAATTCTAAGGATCCTTCATTACTCTGCTTGTTCATGTACGCATTGTATTTCAGCTACTGCATCTTTACTTGGCGGTCTCTTTAGGACAGGGACTCCATTGCTTGCCACGTTTCTTTTTTTGTACATTGTAGCGTATGTGAAGGACACAGTGTAAATTAAAAATCATAAGAAACATACTGGGCAAAGTTAAGACCCTGTGAAAGCCATAAACAACTGGAATGGCTTATTAGAGTCTGTCTCTATACCTGAAATGTAATTTCAATCCAAAAGCTTAACCCACCATCCTGGTACTGTTTTTGTCAACTGGCTTCTTTTAGTCTAAAAATTTCTATTTTAGAAACCAAGAGAGTATGCATGGGAAAGAGGTATTCTCTTTTGGTACCCAAATTGAACTGAAAGCATTGAAGAATCAAAAAAGAAGAAGAAGAACAAGAAATATTTATGACACTAAAAAGGGGGCAAAACATCTTTCTACTTGTGAGGAAAGGCTGTCTGACAGCAGTATCCCAGCTTGAGGGGGTTCAGGGTTTTTTCCCTTGCCAAGGTCAGGCAAACGTTCAGAAAATAGCTTTGAAAAATGAGCAATTGTGAAGGACATACAAAACAGGGAATGATTCCACTTCCTCAGACACGATATACTTTGCAGAATTTAGCTTGCAAATGATGAGGGGTCAATTGTATAAAATTACTTGATATAAAAAATTTTAGTCTCGAAAATGTCATGCCCATTTTGTCTTGTATATACGGCAATCTGACTTTGTATTTCTTTTAAAGAAAAATGAAAACATTGAAGTGGGGCTGTAACAGCTTCTTTAATTTTTTTCTGTATTCTAAATTATGCTTATTCACCCATACACTCCCTCTCTGAGTATTCATTTAGAAGGAAGGTTTTGCAATAGTCACATTTAATTTATCAGGGTGCAATAATTTGTGTTTCCCAATCATCTTGCAGACTTTGGTTCATTATACTATTGTTTCACATGAGTAAGTTAGCAAAGTTTGGATTGATTGACTCTAATTAACTAAAACTGGTTCCAGGCTGTGCATCTATTGTCATGGTAGCTAGCCACAAAGCCCCAAACTGTTCAGTAATGGCAATATAACGTACTATCGATATGAAAATTCCAGCAAATGTTTAACATTGGGCTTGTCAGCAAATGAAACAAGCAAGAGTGGAGGAGGGAGGAAGGGACGTTAGGACAAATATATCTCAGAAGGCTTAGGGGAAATGCAGCCTTCCAGCAATGCTACGGCCCTGATCTCTTCACTTACTGTCATCTAGGCCTCCAACATGGAAAGAAATGCAATCCAGGCTGGAGACGTGCACACTATTCTGTAGAAGAAAGACATACATATTTGTTGTTTAAAAAACCTCCAAAAGAACCCAAAACTCTGGGCTAAACTAAGACCTTCTTGAATAATGTATGTGAGCCTCCCCCTCTGTATATTTTAAAGGCAGGAGTCTTCTCCCTTGCTTTTATGCTAGTCCACCTGGAGGAAGTCTGAATCTCTATTACCATAAAGAGGCCCCCCCCAAAATCCCATACGCCATGACACTGGAGAACCAGTTGCATTGAAAGCTTATGAAGACAAGCAAATATTCATCTCTTGGCTTGTTCTTTTGAGTTAGACTGAAATTAGGTAAAACTAAGGAGAACCTCCGAGGATGAGCTGCCTCTGCTGGCAGCCATGTGCAGGAACTTGGGGCATCTGGAACGTGCAGGTTTGGAAGTGTAAAAGCTTTATGCCATAGGCAATGTATTCTCCAGAGATGCATCACCTGAAATATCAGCCCATGCATATAATGATATGCAAAAACTGCAGATGAAAGAACACTCGTTGAAGTGCTAATGTTAAGCACAAAAGTTAGGGAATGCCAAAGCTAGTTTCCTTCGTTTGACCTATCTTTGTGATTGCATCACTGCAATCTCCCGTATATTGCTCAGGCACTGTTTCTAGGACAAGATCTGTGGTAGCTGGTGTTTACTGCACCCAAAGAGCAATTCCTCAGTGCAGTGTTTAGTCCTCAATGCACAGTATGGGGTCCCCTTCCCTATTTTCAAGGCATGTGGTTCAAAACCGTGATTCAAACGCAGAATTGCCCTTTGTTTCTGATTTTGCTCTGCTCTGTAATTCTAGAACGTGTCATAGCCCCCCTCTCCAATGTGGGGAATGAAATCTCTGTTTTCCAGACGCTTGTCATGCAAGGTTTTTGCACCATTTACAGCTGTGCAGCCAGCACTTGCATGGAGAAGGTTTCGCCCCCGTGCCACTCTCGAGGGCTGCCCCCTCGCCGGCCCCTTGACACACCGCAGAGGCTGGGAGCACCGACGCCGCAGCAGGCCTGTTCAGCCCAGCACTGGGGTTGCTGAGCCCCACTGTTCGCACAGCCTGCCCGCCTCTCCTCTTCGGTTTTTATTTAGGCAAATATCTTCTGAGTTCCCATTTGCCAAAATAAGGGCTTGGATTTTTATGGTATGACTGAGCTCAGCCTTTAACAAAAATAGGCACCAGGGTGAGCGACATCTTTAATTTTTCCAAGCCGGCACAACTAGTCACAGGCCATTTCCAAAAAGCTCTTTGTAGTTTCCTTTCCTAGCCAGCCTGGACTGCAGCACTGAGAGTGAGGCTCGGAGGCAGGCGCTGCGGGGGCCCTTGGGTCCCGCCGGGCGCATGCACACAGCCCCCTTTGACTTCACTGCAATTTACATCCCTAGGAGAGATGGAATTGGGTCCCCGAGCCTGGTGCCAGCCCTGCTCTGACTCACTGTGTGCCTTTGGGCAAGTCATTTAACACCAGGCTGTGATACCTCTCATTGAACTACACATTACACCAAAAAGGGTCTTGCGGAAGTCAATGGAGTTACTTGTGGCGCACTTGTACTTAGTAAGTGTGTCACAATCTGGCCGTCACTTAAGTTTCGCCTTTTATAGGGAATTACAGACTCGTTTACAAGGTTGTGGGGCTTAATTAGTTTATGTTTGCAAAATACATCTTATTGCTGGTGAAAGAGAATAACCATTATGAAGATGATGATGTGTTCAGTGTATGGTAAAGTCTTGGGTTTGTTTAGGCTTTGCTCCATTTATTCCGTAAAAAAAAAAAAAAAAAAGGCCTTCCTTTGCAATCATTTGAAAACCTATTTCTAGGAATGGTGCACTCATTCTTCTATCAGAAGCATTAGGAAAAAATGCAGTAAACTCTTCCCGGGCAAAGTTCCCCGGAGCCTGAACCCACATCACAAATCCAATAGCCACCACAGGCTGATGGGGCCCGACCGGCTGCAGCTAATCTGCGACACAAGTGTGGTGCGGATTGACTTGTCGGGTAAACTTTCCCAAATGCAAACACCATTTCCTTTTCCTGACTCAAAATATATATTTTTTTAACCCTAACCTATATTGTACCTTTAAAACTTGGCATTAGCAAACAGTTTGTTCTTTCATCAGCTGAAACGGTTTTTTGAATTCTGTTTTTTGTTGTTTTTTTGTTTTTTTAATCCAAGTATGGTTCTCATGGTGTAGTAAATGACATTAGGCTTTTGTAAATTCTTGCAGAATATAACAGATCATTGGTTTTATAACACAGTCACTGCTTTTGCATTCTGATGAGATTATTAGTAGCAGCCTAGAATACAACATCCCTGCATACTGTTAGTTAAAAAAAATAAAAGTTTACTAAATGGTCTCTTGTCAACTGTATCTGAAAATCATTATAGTTTCTCTGGTTTCTTTTACATGGAGGGGTTCTTCTGTGAGCTCGCGGATTATGTCAGTATGAAGTTACAGAATTATTACAGAGATGCTGTTTATTTCTCTGTAGCATTGTTTGTTTTTCTACAGAAAACCGTTTTTTTTTAGTATTTATAAATTGGTTGTAAAAATTGTTCACATGCCCAAGATATGCAATATGGTGTCTGAGCTCAGTGAAAATATTTTTCCTTTCATGTGTTGACTGCAATTACATTAGATATTTTTGTC